TGGTATATGTGTTTCTTGTGTGGATTGTCTAGATATTGCTTTGAATCACAAGCATTCTAAGTAAAGATAGATGGTGGCTAGCAGTGGAATCCAGGACGCGTGTTTCGTCTTATATGAGACTCGTCATCTGGATGTGCCTGCATCCTAGTTGATGTTCAATCTGAGACTCAAACCCAGTACCGTTTGCTTCAAACGCTATCACGTTTCCCGCTTAGCTACTGAGTCCTGATAGCAGCTTGGTTTTGCAATAGGATGAAGTTTAACTTCTTTTTATATTGTTTGTATGAATCTTCTCACTGATGTTTTAGGACTACAATTGATCTGGTGCATTCAACTGACGGATCCCAAGCAGGACGAAACACGCGTCCTGGATCCCTCTACTAGCCACTATCCATCTTTGCTTACAATGAAATAATGTTTAAATAAAATACTTAGACGAAAATTGAATCAAAATCAATAACGAATTAAATTCGATGCTATGGAACACATCATAACTAAAAATGGAATAACATGATAAGTGGAAAACGTCTGAAACACCAAGTATGATCATTACGACTAATTATACAAACTTTTTTATTCAAATAGTCAATCAAAATACTTGGTTAATTACCGAAATTATAATCAACTTGTATACAATACAAACTTAAAAAGTTATCAGTGACTGATATATTTTTCGTCATTTTCTGTCTTAATTGTTTATATCTTAAACGTATGAACACGTATATTAAAAAGTCTTAGATTCTTACTAATTTTCATTGAAAGTAATGTTACCTAAACGTAATTTCCATGTAAATTAACTGGAACATTATTCGGAGCTTTTCATTTCAAGGTAATGCTTATCAATGTGATTAGAAAATTAATGGCCAAACATTTTATTGATCGTTACATAATCACTAGTCTGTCGTAGAATAATAATGCTGACTTTTAATAAATTTCATTAAAGTGTTAGAAAAAATTTGATAAAACTCAACAAACGCTCTTTTAACAAATGAGTCCTTGGAAATCTATTTGAAAAGTTTTCAATATGACTAAACAAAAGCCAATTTCAAGGTAAACTCAAGTCAATAGGCGGAAAAAGATAAAACTGAAGATAGGGAAGAAAGCTAACCAAAGTTAGTTATTTAGACTTTGAACAGAAGTGATAGTTTTTTTCAAAATGAGCTGAAATAATGATAATAATATAATGAGGATGACGTCAACTAGATTACAGTTCCATCCCATTAGCCAACTTTTCATTATTATCACTATTGGGATTTCGTTATATGACAAACGTCCACAAAAGAGATTGAAAAGGTTGAATTTAGCTCGTAAGAATGAAAAAATTGTCAAACTAGAATGGTTACAGATATTTGATCATAAGTGTCTTCAAATTACTGTTTACAAATTCTTGACTGAAGAGTGAGCGAAGAACCCGAAAAGTTGAAGCAACTACAGAATGACAGTGTAGAATCTTTTTTTAAAGTCACGAACTTATCACTGTCTGTGATAAATAAACTACATTTATTTTATACTTCTCATCTACCGCTGGTTAACACCGATGCAAGTCAAGACAAGTCTAAGGTTGCTCAGATCAAATTGTTGTACCATTCCGTAAAATCAATAACAATTTTTCGTGGGCCGTGTAATGATATCAAGATGTTTCAGTCACAAATATAATTGTAATAAGTATTTGAAGATTTTTCTTCATACCGTTTTAATACCTCATTGAAATACATACCAAAATAATAAGAAATATTATTCAACTAAATTTTAATTATTTTAAAGCTAACAACAATCTCTGTTCATAAGGATATCACATTAATCTTCATATTAAATACTATTTACTTCCATTTATAATAATATCCGGTCATATACAACAATAAAAACCTCAAAAATCGACTACTTTCTTGCCTAATTATGTAGTATTTACATCGTACTGCATAATAAATTGTCATGTTATACATGTTTTATATTAAGAAATTGTATTTTGAGGGAAAAAATGGTTTAATGTAACAATTTAACATTTATAACATAGGAATAAATAACTTACTAAGACATAGATAGATATGAATGTTGCAATTTGACATGTTCATTGAATCGAACCCAATATCTACTCAAGAATATTAAGTAAGTCATTTCTATATTATTTAAATGTTCACTTTGATTACAGTATTCTTAATTTTGCGACATCTACTCATGATCTTGACTCATTTAATCAATAAAATGGATCACGTTCTCAATGTAAATGCCTGTTTCGTAATAACTACTATTGTAAATAACTGTTAAACAAACCTAATTAAAAGTATTCTGTTTTTGACTGTAATAGTAATAGATTTGGTGACCATTGATTAAGTGAATACCAGTAAAAACTTCACATTACATACATTATTAATTTTATTGTATTCTACAATGCATAATAGTAATATAACCGGACTGAAAAAAACATGTCAGTCGACTAGTTTCAGGGAAATAAGAAACTGGTTTATATCTCAATATTGTAATTATATACTCTATATGAAAGAACATTCTACAACACTGATTATGAAAACAGTTCAAACGGCCATAAACAAGTGATTACATAATGGGTAAATGCTGATAGAGGAATAAAAAATGAGTAAAGCTCAGTTAATAAAATAAGATTACTAATTTAAAAGATAGTTGAAATAAAAACTCAATGATGTAATAAATGCAAGAAAGATTTTTTAAAAAATATTAATAATCCATTATGTAATTATGATTTTTAAATATCACAGGTTACAAGCTAGCTGACAAGAATCAAACAAAATAAATTGAACTCATGCTATTCTTCAAAAATCTTTATTCTTACTAATTTCACTTATATTTACCAAGTATAAACTTAGAAATACGCAAATTACTTAATATGATATTTAAAATAAATAAAGTGAACAATGAGTATATTAATCTTTCATATCATTGATAGTTATTAATATGACTAAAATAAGTTATTAACTATCTTGATCATTTCCATATCAAATTGATTATCTTATCTTATTATTTTGTCCATTAAAAGTACATGAGACATATATGTTCATTTTAATCTGTCTAGAACATTTATATATGATCAGAAATAATTATATTAAACTAGAACATATCACTCAATATCAGAGAATAATATCAGACAAAGAAAATTGGATAGTTATAGTAAGCAATAAATGTGTAATACTAATACTAGCACTAATAATACTACTACTAATAATAATAACAATAATGTCTAAGCCACTTATAATTCAGTATAATCAATAATGACTTTCTTAGTAAAATTAAGAATTCATATATCTATATTTTATGATGTCTGATATAGAATTTTAGTACATATTTATTATTATTTTATATGATAATAAATTATTATAGCGAGTAAATATAAGTAATATGATGCGTGGTAACATAATTTTGTAAACTAAAAAAAATAAACTATTAAATAAATTTTCTGTCCAATTTTTTTCAAGTGTCTACACTAAGAAAATGAGCATGCCTAATTTTTAATCATCTAAATTATACTTGATAATTAATATTTTAAGACCTCTCTTACTTAATTACCTCTGTTCTGGGCCTTCCATTTCAGTTCTATCCAATCGTTCATCATTTTTCTCATATCCGTCTCCATTTCTCAGCGTATTGTGTTCTTTGGTCTCCCTCTCCTCCTTTGACCTTGAGGATTCCATGTGAGGGCTTGCCTTGTGACTCAGTTGGGTGCTTTCCTCATTACGTGTCCTATCCACTTCCAGCGCTTCTTCTTGATTTCTCCCTCCACCGGGATCTGGTTTGTTCTCTCCCACGGTATGTTGTTGCTGATAGTGATAGAGGTAGTTTGCATAGACAACTGTTAGTAAACACTTGTATCTTCTGGATGATGGCTTTCGTAGTTCTTCAAGTTTCCTCCCTATACTGTAAAACTGTCTTAACATTTGTGTTGAAAATTCTGATCTCGGTGTTGATTGACAGTTGTTTTGAGTTCCAGTTGTTGCTTTGCCAATTCATGCCTTCACATCTGCATCAGATCCACTGTGTTAATCCATGATGCTCCCCAGGTATGTAGAGGTCTTAACATCCTCGAAAGCTTATCCGTCATGTGTGGTTCGATTGGTGCATGTTGTGTTGTATCGGAGAATCTTGCTTTTCCCTTTGTGCATGTTGAGACCTACTGTTGCTGAGGCTGTTACACTGGTCGCTTTCTCCTTCATTTTTTGTTACATTCGCGTCACAAGACATCTTTAGCTTTTGACAAAATAAGGATGATCCCATTGAATTTATTTTACAAAATTTTCTGTTACATTACAAGTAGACTAATTCCATCATATTCATAATCATTTGAATATTACAAAGAATAACACAATTCCTTATATATAAAAGGATAAATACCACAGGGTATATGAATTCCCATCCGTAAATCATGATAGATTATGTGGTAAACTAAATGGTTCATGTTTGTTGTATTAGCTTGTGCGTTTATATCATCAGGGTATCAGTAACAATTATTATGGCCAAATAACTAAAGTATCAAAGATTAATATTTTGAATTGGTTTCCTAGCAATGTTTAGCTTCACGATATTAAGTGCAATCAAAACATTTATATGTTATCATTATTATCAAATAAGATACGAAATAAAAGTGCATGAACTTTTAAACATGAGATACAACAGAAACACAAGTTATTAAACTCACGGCTAGATTATAAAATAATTTGACATTTTAAGCAAAGATGTATAGTGGCTAGCAGTAGAATCCAGGACGCGTGTTTCGTCCTATTGGAGACTCGTCAGCTCGATGTGCCTGCATCTCAGAGTTGACTATCCAGAGTTCACTATCCATCCTTGCTTATAATGCTTGTAAATTAAGACAATATCGAGGTAATACGCATAATATGCACATGTGCCAATAAGAGACTGATCAGTTGCAGTCCTAAATATCAAAAAAGCAATATTAAGTGAATTTATTTCGATATTCATTTAAAATTAATAAACAAAACTTTTTTTGTATTTTTATTTTGTTCTCCTTACAGAACTGTTGGAAAATACTTAATTACTGAAAGTAATCCAATTTACTACTACTCAATGGATACGCCTAATAAAAATGACAAATTAATTTTAAAAAAGGAACTACCAAATGTTAAGCAAAAAATTGATCAGTTTAACAAAATTGCTTATAACCATATGTTTAAATCACGCAGTAATATTCCAATTATAAAGTTGAATAATAATGAATTTCCTTGGACAAATGAACAATTCTATTTGAGACAAGTGAATAAAACACCTGATCTTTGGAATTCTAATGAACAACTAAATTCAAAGTCAGTTGCTATGTCAAATATAACCACCTTCTCAAACATTAACAATCAGCACAATCATGTAGGATTTATTGATTCCAATTATGATGCACTTCCAGTTAAAGGCATATTCAAAAATGTAAATCAAGAATCTATTGAACTAAAAAATACTTTATCAACAGATAAACAATATAAGTATCACAAGACTAAACGTGAACATTCATTTATAATTTCTAATCATCCAAATGAATCAGATAAATATTCTTCTCAAACTGAACAAAATCAACTACTCATTGGAGGAAAATTAGAAAATAAGAAAGAAGATAATGACAGCAACAACAATTTAACTGTAGATGAATTTATAAATAATAATATAATACAAAATGTTAACCTGTTGTCTGAACAGTTCACACTATACGTTTATAGAAATTCTAACCAAAATTTAGGATTTTCAGTATCACGTAAGATTTTTCAATTATAAATTATGATTAGTCAGTTGTTGTTTTTTATTCTTTCACTGAAAGAATTCTAGATTCTCTATGTAGAAAACTATTCAAGTTATCACATGATGTAAAAAGACCAAGATTGGAAATATTTTATAACTTCACTGATGAACTCTTTCATAAGAAGAAATGATTTGATGTTGTTTTGCTTTCATGATCACATGTAGAGGCTTCTTATTTATTGGGAATATATCTTGTTAATCAGTTGATCTATAAAATCACTAGAAGTATTGCCAAACATCTGAAGCATTAAAATTAAAACACGAAGTTCAGCGAAGGGATCTCTTTTCAACGAATTTATTATCAAGCTGTACAATCGTATATGTGAAAATTTTTTGTTTTTTGTAAAAGTAATAATTCCTCGAGAAACTGTGAACACAGTTAATAAAAAAGGTTATAATACTAGATTACGTAATATGAATGATAACAATAGATTTAATGAATATAATATGATGATTACAATGTTTTTTTGTCATAATAATTAAAGGTCGTAGAGGTGTAGAAAATAAATAAGGTGATATGATGAGCATTTACGAATAAAACAATGAGAATATAAGACATCGCTGAACTTCGTGTTTTAATTTTAATGTTTAAATGGGAATTATCTGTCATCTGAAGCATTATCAACAATCTGGTCGAGTAAATATGTACTGAGATATTTTCAGACATTATAATTAAGAATTACACATGTATGCAAGTAATTTGAAGCTTGAAGTGAACTTACGACAAATATATCACTAAATATAACGGAGTATGCAAATGTGTTACATTTTTACTAGACAGAATAATATAATTTTTCCTTGGTTTTCTTTGTAATCTTTTATATTGTAGAGTCCTAAATAAAATAACATACAATAAATAACAAATGAGGTTAACGTACTAATCAAGGGGTAAGAAAGAACAAAATTTAAGGGTCAGATAATAGTCCAATTGACAGATTAGTACGTTAACCTCATTTGTTATTTATTGTCGAATCCATTTTTGTGATACAATACATTCTATCCTTCTATAGGCATACATTTTCCATATAACTATATATACGAATGTACAGCTTAAGTAAACGATTTCGTCGAAAAGAAAAGTTTTCTTCGCTGAATTCTCTTTTTCTTATTCAATGACACTATGGGTTATTTTAATAAAATAACATAACTCCTGAATTTCACTGCTAACTGCATTTCATTTATTCTATGTAGACTTTTTCCTTTTATTAGTGATCATAACGAAAATTAGATTCTTATACAAAATTCAATGGAAATTCTATTTGAAATCGTGTTTTTTTTATGGAATTTTGTTCTCTGAGCTAGATGGTTTGGTCGTGGAGCTTTCATCGTTCTTCTGAACGACATCATCAACACAAACTTCAGATAGGAGTGAAGTGTTTGAATTTCTCCATATGCGTTTCACAGCTTGTTCTGTACACCTCGTCGTTGATTGGTTCTTATTGACCTTAACTTTGGTTGTGTCCCCCATTGGTTTGATTTTTGTTCCTATATTTGTGCATAATTTTCCATAATCTCGAAATCGTGTTCATTTAGTTTCAAAAGTGCTGTTTAAATGTACAGTTAACATTTTAAAATGTGATATCATTTTTTCTTTATGTTGAAAATAAACTATTTGGATAGCTGAAAAAAATGAACATCAAGTTTATTGATGACTATTTCAACTAAATCGACTCGCCTAAATTATTATAAAGCATTTAAAATTAAATTTTTACAGTTTAACTAATATCAAAAGTTAAATATTATCCATTTCTAAATGAGTAACTATTCTACTGATTTTGAGATTGAAAAGTTCTAGGTTCGAATTTCACGATGTGAGATTATGGATACGCATTGCTGAGGAGTTCCATACAAGGACGAAATGGCCGTCCAATGGTCCCATGTTTACGATGGTGGTTTAACTTCAATAACTCATGAATTCAACTATTAAATTAAAATAAAATAATCAAGGTTAATTACAATTCTATCAACAAATAAGAGAGTTATTACGTATTTCTTTTATTAGTAGATTATATCATTTGTTTTTACATCAGTAATTTAATTTTTTTCATTAATTTCTATTCTAAAATTCAAACATGAATTGTTCTGGAGACAAATAATATCGATTTCTTTATTTTAAGTGATTTATTTCTTTTTATATTGTTTTTCGAAAACATAAATAAGCACATATGGTAACAACTGTTGCTAGTTCCTTTTTTTTGTAAGAAAAAAAATCAATACAACCTACAAGTGAAAATATTTAGGCAAATCATTGTTTAAAATAAATCACAAAGACAATATTTTTTTTGATTAAGATCATAAACCGATTGATGTTAGACCACCACCTTTGGAAACCCGGAAGCACTGGACGGCCGTTTCGTCCTATTGTGGGACTCCTCAGCAGTGCGCATCCACGATCCCGCTCGCGGGAATAAAAACTAACCTTTTTATTCATCATCGAAGGTCAAATGTACAACTGATTTGCGTACCCAATCTAATTTCTTTTCTTAAATAATATTAATTTTTTTATTTACATCATTAATATAAAAAATAATTTCATTGTGTTATTATAATAAACTTTGTATTAGACGGAAGTTGTAAAATTCAAGTCCTATGAAGAATAATTGATTCCTTATTAAATAATACCTATTTCTGAAAATAATTAGAAAAGTCATATTGAAAATGTAATACAAAAGGGTAGTTGAAATTCAAAATAAATAATAGTATATTATTTGAAATGAAATAATATGTGTAGTATTGTGATTGGACATTTATCATGGAATTATCATCATAGCGTTGTGGAGATTATTGTGTTTTTGATTGAGAGGTTACGCATTCGCACGTGAAACTGAAGGCCCTGGGTACGAATCCTAGGAGCGCGATCGTGGATGCGCACTGCTGAGGAGTCCCACAATAAGACGAAATGGCCTTACAATGCTTTCGAGTTTTCAATAGTGGTTTAACATCAACTGGTTCATGATCTTAATAAAAAATATCATGGAATTGTAAATAATACACACCCTAAGATATATGGAATACATATAATCTGAGGTTATAATATTTTAATGTATAAGATTATTTAAGAAATATACATTGTATAAGTCAAAAATCTTGAATAATTCTTAATAACTATTGTGTGAAAAGCATAAATACATTTTAAAAATGGCATAACTAAAAAGTCGTGTAAGTTTTGAAATGATAGATACTTTATCCTTGCCATGGAATTTTCGTTGAACAGTTTATGCACTAAGGTATAGTTTTAATGTCCAGTATTAATTAAAGGTCATTGTTACTGTTCTGAGCTACATTTCATTGAGATTGTATAACATTTTTAATTCATAAAAAAGAAACGAGTCTTTTGAAATACCATCGTGTGAATAATATAGTCGGTATATAATTGGTTTTTCTATTCTACTTACTTACTTTACTTACACCTGTTACTCCCAATGGAGCATAGGCAGCCGATCAGCATTCTTCAACCCACTCTGTGCTAGGTTTCTATTCCAACTACTATTCAAATAATACTTAACATGTTTTCATTGATTTCAATGAGTTACAATGATTATCCAGGCTAAATCCGATCTTAATGTAAAGATTCATAACTGATGACATTTGAACTATTGATGGATTGTTTACCATTGTGAGTCTAATATGAAAATAATTCTTAATCTTTAAAACTTTAGGTTATTAGAGTCATCCCGCGATATCGTTGCCGGTAACTTATGCTAAGAATTCTATATTTTATCAAAAATAGGATATTGAATAAATCTAATAAAGCTAGTGATAATAATGATAAAAACTCCCCGAAAGTCTCAAAGACGACAGAATGCCTATTTGGCTCCCGCCAGTTTTTAATTGTTGTCTAAGTAACGTTAGTCTGCAGTACAAACTTTCCTTAAACTAAGTAATCTCCATAGACCTATTTCAATAGAACTTTTTAGTTGTAAATTTTGTATGAGGTAGATTCATTTATCAAATGTTTAAATAACTGTTCCTGAATCAATATAGTCTTGGATCGTTGGTACGATCACTTGCAAATGCCAAAGTATCAGGTCTGTCATCAAAATTATTTAACTTTTGTTTTTTTAAACACCCACTGGTGTATTGTTTTACGTGCACATTTTTGGGTAGATCAAACATCAGTTATTGTTTCTTTTTTTGCTTCAGGTTTGAACTCATTATTCGACGAAACTTCAAATTATTACGTAGTCATCAGTGGTATTCAACTTCCCAATAAAAACAGTCATTTACGAATTGGGGACTGTATTTTATCAGTAAGTATACAGTGTTCAGTTTCCATTATATATATATGGTATTGAGAAACATCTTTGGGGGTGTGAAGTTGTTAAATGAAGTCGGTAGTCGTTGTGGAAGCTTTGATGAGTTTCTATGAGATTCAGAAAATTATCACATGCCGTACATCATATTTCTTAAGTACCTCATTATAATGTGATTCTTTTTCTAACAAACAGATATGTGGCCTAAAAACGCGACTATTATTAACCCCTTGATATGTCTGCCCACTTGTCTGTGCTTAATATACAGTCAGAGTAAGAGAATTGTTTCAATTTCGTTTAAGGCCTTAAAGCGATAGGCTACTTAGTAAAGCATTAAGACTTGCAATCCGTGATTTTAACAATCACTAAAAGCTCTTAATGACAAAGTGAAGGAAACATTTTTGTCACTGAACTATGAACTGACAGGTTGATTAGCTAACGAAAAGAATAGGAACTATCTTAAAACGTTTCTAATGCATATGAATTAGCATGACTACCTACAATACACAGTAATATACAGTTCAGTTCAAACCAGGGTATTCGAGTTGAAAACTGGATTACAAAAGTGACGTTTAAATTACAGTAATTTAGTAACAGAAAAGTATATGAGAGTAAGTTACACATTAAACAGGGATAAAACTAAATGCTAGTACTTTAAAGATCTTAAATTAAGTGGAACAATGTCCCAAGAAAAAGCCTCTATTCTTTATTTCTTTATTATTTCTCTCTTTTCACATCAAATATTCAAAACAAGTTCACTTTATGTATCAAGTAATTTATGTTTTCATCTAAAAATATTAGGAAAACTTTAATAAAGAGAAAATATGCAATAATTAGTTTATATTGAAAAGAAAAAGGTAAATTCAATAGATATTGTTAAGTTAATTTACATTGATCTAATCATAATTGTTATGTAAATCCTGTTTACTAATCAAACTTAACCTTTTCATTTAGGTAAATGGAATAAATTTAATTAACATGGATTTAATGAAATCAGTTAGATTATTAAAATCAACACCATTTCCAATTCAATTAAAAATACAAAGGTTGAATAAAATCAATTTGGTAAGTTATAAACTTGATAAATTCATCTAGAAGTATTTATTAAACTACTAAAATCTCTTATAGAAGTATGAGTATATTAGTTTTATGTATATAATATTAGTTATGATTAAAATTCCAGCAAAAAATTCCGAAGTCCTGTTCAATGTTAAGTATCCTTATGGTATGAGGAAACTTCATTGCTGAGGATAGAAATTCTTTATGAACATAAACTTGCTTACGTAATATAGTAACCGTTGTTATGTGGTTTTCGAAACAATTACATTTTATATTGTTACTGTTTCCTTCGTATCATTGTAACTACGATACGAAGTTATTTATGAGTTTCAAACCCATTTCTATCGATTTGTAAAAATGATTTTAAAAACTGTTAATCAATAATTGGTGTTGGCGACATTTTCATGTTATTACGTAATGAGCAGTAATAAAGTTCATTGTCCATTTAATTATACATGGGACTTGTTTTTCAAAATTATTTTTGTATCAATGGCTGTCTTTAGTGGCCCATTAATCGGACTCCAATTATAAAGAAATTATGAAGAATTCATGAATATATATCTTCCATTTAACTCGGTATATTACACCTAGGCTAATCCTATTTGTATGACAGTGGTGATAAGCCAAATAATATTTGAAATGGATGGATTTATTTGAGATACTCGTCTACTGAAACAAAAATTAATAAGAAGCCCAAAATTAAAGTGAGGCGAAAAAGGCAGACGTAAATACTCCATTTGAGAAGGCCTGATCTATAGTCAGACAAAAATAAGTTAAAGACATGTGATAAATAGGGTAAGCAATACAGACATATACGCTAGTATAAAAACAGTCAAGGTTATAAGCGAGTAATTCACTAGGTCGACATGTGACTCAAAATGAATACATTAATTGGCCCGTCCAGTAACTAGTATAGCCATATGGGCTTGATATAGTACTAGAAACTGCATAAGCTTCAATACAGTATTTAGTATAAATATCGTTATAGAAAGTGTTCTAACTGAACGCTTGCCATGATTCACGATATTTGTATGCGTCACAAGGCTAGCTCTCACATGGAAACCTCAAGGCCAAAGGAAAAACGGAAGACCAAAGAACACATTACACAGAGAAATGGAGACAGATATGAGAAAAATGAACAAAAATTGGACACAACTGGAAAGGAAGGCCCAGAACAGAGTGGGTTGGAGAATGCTGATCGGCGGCCTATGCTCCATCGGGAGTAGCAGGCATAAGTAAGTAATGCATATATGAATTTTCAAAATCCCTAATAGCATACACAAATAACAAATTGTAAGGGAAACATGCCGTTCCTCCTAGATTCCATTCATACTCTATAAATCAGCTTATAAATATGAAGTTCCTGTTCACGAGATTTTGTCATTGTTATATGCAAAACAACGAATTAAACTTATTGTGTCATTAGACAAAAAGAAGACATCACAGAGAAGAAAGTTCTCTTCTCACTGATACTCTAGTTGAACAATATCTCTATTTTACTACAGACTACATTGTATCAAGTTAATTAAAAATACAGTTGCACAGCTTGAGTAAATGATATCAGAGGAAAAAAGAAATTTTCTTCGCTCAACAACTTTCGTATGAAAAATGGATAAATGCGGCTTAGTAATTTTATATTGCTCATTTCAAAACTAAATCTTGTTTCTTACTAATATATTGTAATGATTTTTTTCTCTATAATTTTCAAAGTTAACTGATATTAACTGTGAAGAAGATTTTCTGTCAGTCGATACAGATACGGATGAAGAAGCTGAAATAATGACGAAAATTATTGACATGGCACAAAATTATACTTCTACTAAGTGCACAAAAATCAACGAACAACTTGACCTGGAGGTAAGTAAATCCACATGAAGGTTCTCATTTATTTTAAATTATTAACTAATTGAACTAATGTAATTAATATTTTTTGGATAATGGAATTGAAATATTTTGAGGAAGTCTAGTTTTTCACCATACATATACATATGCAATTCTTCCATCAAACCTTTGCTATCATTGGGAAGTGTAAATATAAGCCAGTTTTTAGACTGCTCTAATCAGTCTTAACCGGTGAACCAACTGAATAGTGAAATTAATCATCCTTATTTCAGTTTTTAAGAAAACACTAAGTCGTTTTCTTTACTGTTATTTTTGTACAGAAATTCTCTTAAGAGAAAAATGAATGTTCACATTCGTATAATTTATCATATACATAAGCATTAACAATATTCCTTTCACTTGTTTTTAATTACAAATCTTGTGATTTTAACAAGTATCAATTTCTAAAGAAAATTCAAATAACAAATACAAACTAGCAAAATTATAAATGCGATGTCAATTCATTTCTCACTTGTCAACTAATCAATGACTAATCTACATCCAAGTAAAACTTGACTATCTTCCCTATTTCTTTCGTATGCTTTCTTCTTCATTTATCTCAGTATATTTTCATATTGCTTCAATAAAAACATTTCGAGTGTTTCTTTTGAAGAAAACTAATTTACAAGCTGAGATGGTGGTGACTAGCAGTGACATCCATGACGCGCGTTTCACCATATTTGGGAGTTATCAGCTAAATGTACCTGCATCCCAGGTTTGACATCAACCCCGGGACTCGAACCCAGTACTATTTGCCTCAAACACTATTGTGTTAATCAGTTACTTACTGAGTTAAGATAACCACTAGCTTGTGAAATTGGATGAAGTTTAATTCATTTTTGTGTTGATTACTTGTTACGTATCACTGATATTTGGGACTGCAATTGATCAGTCTCTTATTGACATATGTGCATCCTATGCTGATTGTCTCGTTATTATCTTCAGTCACTGCTAGCCACCATCATCTCAACATACAATGCCTGAGCGTCACTGGTGCTCGTGGCTCGAGTTTTTTATAATATAAATACGCAACACACCGGAACACTTTGGTATTTAATGGCCATATGACTATAATCATTTCGTGATATAATCTATCTTCAAACGATTTTATTCATTTTTTTAATGTTCAATGAGAAATAATGAAAATATTTATCCATACAGTATCAAGAATGACAAATAATTATTACATAAGAGACAGAAATATTTGTTGATCTCTTATATAGCAAGAAGCACGAACATTTTAGGATAAAATGAATCCATTTTGTTTCACACTCTTTACAACCCTTAATATACACACTAAATCTATAAATAAAATCGTTTATAAGTGTAGTTTCTTTTTTGAAACACAATTTCATTCAGTTTACAAATGAATAGTAATCTCAATTACTTTTCACATCCATACAATATTATTAGTAACGGGACAAATAAGAGGGATCATGTTATAATCAGGAATAAGAAAAAAATATGCAAATTAAGATAGACAAATGATAAAATTATTATGATATTCGTTACACAAATCTAATGATTAAGAATTCATAATACTGATGATGATAATAGTAATAACTATCATGGTAATAATTCAAAGTGGTACGAAAATTCTGAGGGTGTGCAAATAATTAAATAGTTAAATATAGGAGTGGTTAAACAAATTTGAAACAATTATGATAATGAAGGTAAGGCTAATAATAATAATAACTTTCATGGTTTCAAAACGAACTGACCTTGACTAAACTATCACTAAAAACGAGGATAGACACGGCAAACTGTTTCATCTTACCATAGAACTCTTCAAGAGGGTCCATCCACGATCTTACTGCGTATAGCACCGGAGACCTTCGGTTTAACAGAGAGCGACTAACCTCTAGACCACTGAGCTGTCATCAAATGGTAAACATATAAAACTTGGATTGGTTCTCGATAGTAAGCGATTATTTTCCGCTGTCTGAGTTGGATAACTATCATGTTGTATCAGTTATATGATAAGTCAGTAACCTATGATCACTGGAGTAAATAGTATCGTGTAATTAATGATGAATTCCGATTGGATCCTTTTAAAAACATTTTAGGTACGTCACATGATAGGCTTCTGTCGACTGAGCCCAGGATCTTCATTCTTGCTTACAAACGTTTAACCTACAGATCATTGAGCTAAGATCTGATAATGTGAATGTTTAACGTCAATTCATAATATTGCACAGCCGTTTTCCGTTACGAGGATGGATAACTGTTTCACCCTAAGCATGGTTCATGATTTAAACTATGAAAATTCTAAAATCTCCACAAATTCCTTAACAATAATAATACTAATGATAATAATATGCCTAATTGGCATGATAACTTTACTAAGACGGTCGATGAGGTTATCACAATTAAGTGGGATCTGATGGGAATGATAAAAATAAAATATAGAGCTAATTTGTCGAAAAATAGTATTCACTAAGGCAGTCCGAAGTTATTTTTTGTAGTCATTGTTCATATTTCATTACCATAGAAACTAAAGGCATTTTAGGAAACAAATGTTTTGTTTATATGTTATCATTACTTAAACATATACATCTGTATTCCATTGGTATTATGTGTGTGATAATCTAACAGTGCACTGAGATGATGTTTATCAGAACCGTGTAAAGTATTACTAACATAAATGTAACATTTGGATAACGATTCAATTCAGGATGTAAAGTTTTCTAAGGTATATATGGAATACATTACAGTAATCAGTGAGAAATATGAGATTACGAGTTGTGCTCTAAAATCAATAAACGCAATAGGAAAGTTTTTTGATGAAGAGTAGAATAACATTCAACTCCCAAAATATTAGATGCTCTATCCATACAAACCTTATATCAGTAGAAAGAGGTAGTCACTGCATCCATATAGCGTTAGTTAAATAGTGAAGTAAACGTGCAGTCTCACAACATGGACTAAATTAATTTCAACAACCATCAAATGATGGAAAGCATTAAATAACCGTTTCGTCCTAGTTTGAACATCCACAGCTCTGGGCACATGAATCTATCGGAGCTCAAATATAGGATCTTCAAGCATTGTGATAAACATTCAGCGTGCAGACCTACGTGTCTTCGAAAACGCGTAATCTGATAAGAGGTTATCAACTGTCATCCTTCTGTGTCGTTAATCGAAAATACAACAGGATTAAAGTACTCATCAAAAACCAGATTTACTAGTATTATGTAGAAGAGTAAATACTTGGATTCTTCCAGAGTCTAGCTATATGAAAATTCATAATATCTTTGTGTATTGAAAGCAATTTGCACTTGCACTGAACCCAACTAAACTTTAATTTATAATATCATAGGTGTTGTATGCTCAATGTTACCTGAATATCCGTGATTTTATGTTTAAATTTATTTCGTTTGACTTTTTTATTTCTTATGTAACTACTCTAGCTAATCAAAGTCTGATTAAATTGTTCAGTACATACATATGGCTCTAATACTTTGAAAGTTATCGAAGCTTAAACGGTTTTATTTTCTCTCATTAACATAATCTGTGAATTGAATGCACAGAAACCGAATAACAATTCATAGATTAGTGATAATTATATCCAACTGCGTAGAAATTGCTTATGAGTTAATCTTTCAATATGATTGTTATAAAGGGAAAGAAGAATATGAATGGACATAGAAATCTTTAGTTCTAGTATTGATTATTATCAATCTAAGATTCTATTTCTTGAAATCAGTATAGGAGTAGGGAATTAACTCTGTGTAAATCAAAGTAGTTGAAATGAAACTGAATGTGGTAACGACTACTGGTTAGATAAACAAATTAACGGGAAGCCAGATAGTCAGTCAGATTCAAAGTAAAGTGTGGTATTTATATACAGCCGTTCAAGTTATCACAATCCATTAGCACAGTAAGATGGAAATATCAGGGACAATCTCACAGTAAAAGAGCTAATAACAGTATCAATGGTAACAGAAAGATATGGCATCAAGATAATAGTTCAAGAAAATATAATTTACAATAATATAAAAATTATGAGGAATTCAGAAGCTCAGAATATACGAGATGATAAAAAATGAATGAGCCCGCATCACTGCAAACGATTTTGAGCTATGTCATTCAAAATCTCTAACCGCTGGTTACAGCATTCACGCAGGCAACAACCAGGTAGTTTACATCTATTAACATGGCTCAGTCCAGTTGTCAGTGACTCTATGGATGGCCACTCTTAGCTTTCTTCCAGCCGACACGCACACTATCAATATGGCGTGTTGAAATATGCGGTGACTGTGCATACGTCACACATGTCTCAACCCACCTTAGTTGATGAAGATTTACTAGTTCATCAATCGATTTGCCATCTTTACCTAGTTCTATATTCCTAACCTGAGTATTATTTACTCGGTGGTCCCAAAATACACGAGAAATGTTTCGAAGACACTTATGATTGAATATTAGCAACCTACGAATATCCTCTGTTTTTAATGGTTATGTTTCACAGTCATAAAGTAGAGTAATGAGAATTGCTGTGAAGTAAATTATTCTTTTGGTCATCAGATGGATATCTCGCCAACGCACAATTAACACACGTTGGCAAAAGTTAGTGAAGACTTCTAAATCGGTGCCGAGATTTCATCAGATACTATGCCATCAGGACCGATAAGACTCTCAAAATAAGTGGTACAGTCGATGCTTTCAGTTGTTTCACTCTCTATCATTAATTCAGCATCTGACGCAGGACAATCCTGAAGCAACATATCGTAGTTAGAGGAAGAATAGCACCCAAACATAAGATTAACGGGAAGATGATTATTCAGACAGTAATATAATAAAATGTACATAATACTTTTGGACAGAGTTATTTGCTTGTCACCACTATGAAATCCCTGAAAACAAACACCAATATCTGCAAACAATTTAAATTATTTTGGAAGCATGATTAGATCGACTCTAAGATACAAGTTTATGTTAGTTGTTGAATACTTGTTTCCCATAGTAATTAAATTCATCTTTGAATAAAATGATTAACCGTGAACAAAGTTAATGATAAATAACGTCTTTCAGCAAAAGAATTATTCAAAAGTATGCATAAGGCTCAATGTGCTGTCTGCTAATTATGTTGACATACGTAGTATATAACGCCAAACAGATAAAGAAATACCTAACAATAGCAAGTTGAGAAGATCAAATAAAAGAGAACGGGAACAGAGAGTAATTGATATAGAAATGAAAGAACAATAAAGCCTGAGATGATTTAATGTCGCAGTATAATAGGTCGTCTCTACACGTGTTTTCGTTTATTAGGATCAAAAAATAATATACAAGATGTTCGTCTAATTAGTACACATAAGTGTTTTTATTATTTTATAATGAATGGATGAATGAAGCATGAACTATCTAGTTATGTAATCCATCATATTCACAGTGAGAATTTTGTCAATTATTTCAGTTGTATATTCAGCTACATGTTAGGTATATTTATTTTTTGTGTTAATCAATTAATCCATCTTCGTGGATTGGTTGAAGTTAGACACTAATACCGCTGGATGCCGGCTCAGTAGTCCAGAGGTTAAGCGTTCACACGCGAGACCGATAGATCCTGGGTTCGAATCTTACGAGGTGTGATGGTGGATGTGCACTACTGGGAAGTTCCATACTAAAACAAAAAGGCCGTCCAGTGCTTATAGGTTTTCCATGGTGGTCTAGCTTCAATTGAATGGTGGAGAAGATTTGTGGCTCAGGTGGATGATTTTGGTGGTGTTTTGTTCTCTGAGCTGGATGGTTTCAATTGAATCATGATCTAAACTATTGAAATATCTATTTATTATGTGAATAGAATTTAGTATTTGTTCAATAAGGTCATCATACTTTTAAAAAAAACTTTTGTACATAAGTTACACAATCATAGAATAAAGATTATTTAATGAATTATTGATTGAATAAATAAATAGAATATACAAAGGGGATGATTGAATATTGATTAAGATTAATTTATCGTTATTAATTGAAAGGGGGGTTTTTTTGTCTCCAGAATTAAGCAACAACTAATTCATAATTCCACATTTTTAGAATAAAGACATTGCTAACTATTATTGATTAATGTTTAGAGAATTATTATCATATCAATAAAAGATATTTATAAATAGGACTGATTAATGATTTGTTTGATTACATAATATTTATCAATAAAGGATATTCAAAATATAAATCTATGTAACGTTGAATTAACTGAGACTAATCATAATACAATAAATGATAATAGAATAACAAAAACTGTAATACAAAGTCAATTTGTTAAATTATTACGACAAAAAGTTATCAAATGGTTACATATTCATCAAACATTAATTCAATTAAATAAATATAAATTGAAACAATTCAATAAAGATCATTACAATTATGGTGATGAAACTGAAGTTACAATGAATAATACAGATGAAATGATATGGAAGGATGATAGAGTTTTAGGTGAGTTAAAATATTTTCTATTTAATAGATTTCATTATATAAAAGAGAATGATAAAGTGCGATATATACATATTTGTAAAGTTTACATTTAAATATGAATGATGATTGTATTATTTTTCTGTCCATTGTCTATGTAAATTTAAGGAATAGAATATATAGCTAATCTGAAACACCAAAATCATCCACCTGAGCTACAAATCTTCTCCACCATCTCAAAATCTGAAACATTATATAACACATGAGATGCATTCAAGTTCAAAATGACATATATACATGTGAATTGGGTTAGTGTGTGATAAGTAATGTTATATTTAAAACAACATCTTTTAAATGTTTCCGTAATTCTGATAGATGCAGACTACTTGGTTGGGGTCCGCGTGACTATCGTAACTAATGGTTGGAAACTCTTAGTGGCATGGCTCAGAATCGATCACAATGGAGTAGGTGTATACACTCTCTGTCTTCCCTTAAACTATGAGCTTAAAACTGCTTCATATCTTTCTTTCTACGTACTAAATCTTTCTTTTATATATTACCACCATTGAATTAACTACTTCTATGAATCCGGTGTTCATCTTTCTGTGTTAATGGAGTATGTTCCTGGTCCTACGTTGTAGCTGACTGACTGACTGAATTCTGATACAGCTATCTTATCCAACATCATAAGAATTACTACTGATTTATCTGATGTATATTTTGTCAATTAACAATACAGTTTCTATAATACCTAGTATGTTTCTGTAATTTCGATGACTTTAAAATTACAGTTTTTCATTTGTATTCTAATGACAGACAGAGAAAATATCAGAACTATTTTGTAGTCTATAAATTAAGCGATAAATGAAAATTGAATTTATTAAAAACTAATACTATAAGGTCATAGGATCAATTCTAGTGCCTTATCTTCTTTTAAGCAAACTAATTTTTTTAAAATATATTTACAATCTATCAGAATTAATAAGTTGATATATTGTTTTGAGCGCAGGAAAATCATTAAGTTCATTTCAACCTTATATTATGATAATATTTCTAAAGAAATGATCTAACCTTATGTGTGAATTTCCGTTTGAGAAATCCATATTATATTACTCAAAATCAAGTCAAATAACTAAAATGAATTAAACTGCATGTAAATTCGTATCATTTCAATAGTGCTTAAATTGTTTCTTACGTATGCAGATATTTACATTATTTTTTTATTGCTCAGTTAGAATCATGTAACTAAAATAATGAGATATGGGGAGTTTATAATAGGAAGTCACTCTTAATAGTGTCTTGATTTAATCATGTCACGTTCATGTTCTATACTTCCGACGAACTTTTGATTCGTTCTAACCTAAATTGTAGATTAAAACAAATAAATGAAAATAAAATTTAAACAATGTATAGTCAAACATTTAAATTCATAAATAATCACTTTTGTTTTAGTTAATGTTATATTAATAGATGTATCATTTAATTAAAAGAATACAATTTGGTTGATTGAAATAAAATATGTATCAGTCGTTTAATCTCTTAGAACGATAGTATATATGACCGATCATCCAATGTTAATCACAATTTATCAACTGATGAAATGGAAAAGGTTCTTCAGTGAAAAAAAATTCAAATCAAAATATCATGAATTTCTATATGACTTAGGCATGTCAGTATGCTTTTTACCACGAATGCGTATAAGGTTACATGACAAATTTTAATAAGTATTCTTATTTCCTAGTATGCATCAGATCTTTTGTGAAATAAACAACTCTCATTCACTTGGTATTATTTGCTGACGAGTCCTAAGTGGGATGGAACGTGCGTCCTGGATTCCACTGTTAACCACTATCCATCTTTGCTTATAAAGCTTGTGAGTCAAGGCAATATCGAGGCAGTCGTCACAAGATGCACAAATGCCCACAAGAAAATGATCACTTACAGGCCTTAACAACAATGGGAAGATACAATCAGATAATGCCAAGTGAATTTAAACTTCATCCTGTCTCACAAGCAGGTGGCTATCAGGACTCAGTGCGTAACGTGATGGCGTCTGAAGTGAACGATACTAAATAAAGTCCCGAAGTGGACATCAACTTTGAGATGCAGGTACATCCAGCTGATGAGTCCCGAGTAGGACGAAACGCATGTACTGGATCCCGCTGCTAGCCACTATCCATCCTTTTTTGTAAGACAACTTTAACGTTTTTGTAATGAGATAATTAGCAATGGTCTAAATTTTATACGATAAAACTAATTTATTTACAAATTATAATATAAGACTAGAATGAAAGTATTTAGTGCATCAGTGAATAAAATAACGTATCCTGAATAAATGACCTAACAATATATGATTTTAAAATTGGTTAATAACAAAACTTTCAGATCGTTATCGGTCTACAACTGTTTTTACACTCAAAACTACTGGATGAGTATTAAAACTAAAATCGGTTAATTCGATAATGAGATCGTATATAATGTGACTTGGAGAGCTCTCCTACAGTGACTCCATATAACAGGTTCTTGCTCAACCTCACTTTTTGTTAAAGTAACTCTAAATAAACCTTATTCACCATAAAATTATTCAGATTATTTCATTTACAATCATTTCTTATCACATAAACAAAATAATGTATTATAATTCATCGATTAAATTGCAGTCGCTCTGTTCTTTAGTATCTTACCAAAATACAGTACATTATCATTACAGTTTAAAAGAGTTTCGAGAGATTTCATGTATTCATGAGTCTCTTCAGGTTCTCAGTGATGTCTTAATGATGAATAGAAACAAATATCAGACAATGTTTTTAGTGGTTCCATATCTACATAAATATTTGGTGGTTTAATAAAAATTAAATCAGTACTTTTTCCATATTTCTTTCTAGTTAATAACTATTGTAGTCTATAATATTGTCAAATACACTAGAAGATTAAGATGTTCTTTTTTCTAAAGAATTAGAAATGAACTTATAATTATAGCTCCTGAACAGGCATAATTCCAAGTTTACATTTTGATGAAATCTCGTAAATATACTGGATCGAGTCACGACAGCATAATTTCATCGAAGATTATTATTATGTTTAAATCTTTGCTTGTAACTAACATATACCAAATGCCAACTGAATTTACCGAATACGCGAAGTGAAATGGAAATTTCTCAAATCAAAAGATATTGCGTTTTACTCAGCTATCCATTTCCATTGATTCGTCTTCAAACGATTACTTCTTACTTATAGGTATAAATCAATGACTTGTTAAGAAAGATAACATAACACTGATTAATTCCCTTCTTTATATTTACATGAAGTAATGAACTTTCTTTCATTAAGTAGTTGATGACGCTAAATTCATTTTGAAGCTAATTTTTGCATTATTGATGCTTATCATCTGGGAAACCATTAAAAACCAGATAGGACTAGCAGTGGTTATATTCTAGTTTGGTAATAGTCATCAAGGTTGTATCTAAGATATTGGTCATTCATTGTTTAATCCAAAATTTCTGGTCGAAAAGTAAACTTCCTAAACAATGTACGTATACTTATACAACATAAAATAAACTTTTTAACCTAAGTTCACCATAACATTGTAATTATAAACATAGTTTCCTCAAACTATTTTATCAGAGAAGAAAATGTATGACACAGTTTGTATAAATGTTGAGAATATGGTCCTGTTGTCATCCCATGAAATCAAGGAAAGAATTGTAAACAATTAATGCATTATCTGGATTTGTTATGTTTAAAGAGAATAATGAAACGTTCTTTTATTTTCTGAAACAAAGTGTCAATTAACAGTCAGACGATTTTTTTTCAGTATGTCAAGTGATTTTGTTTCTACATAATGGATCTTTATTGTTATGGTTACTCAAAAACAATTAATCTAGATTACCACTAGATAAAACATAGGTGAATCTAATTAAAAAGGCTTTAGAAGAGTATTTTTTTGTTATATATATGTTGTAAACGCTTCAGTGAATCTAACCAGATGAAGCAAAAAGAAAAATACTGTCTCAATCTAAGAACTGTATACAAGGTTTATCAACAATAACTCATTATTTCTTATTTTCTGATAAAATCACAGAATAAAGAAATGCATAGTCATTTCTTCTTAATTTGTATAGTTAAATTAACAATACTTTACGTATTTAGCCTAAATACTTTTCACTAACATGCTTGTTAGACTTTTGTGTACAGAGAATTATTGCAACTCACTAGTTAATTCTAATTTCTTCTGATAGTTTAGTTTAGAAACGTTTGTCAGCTGGTATCTACATCTAATGCAATATAATGAATTCAAAATGATTACTGTTACTGTGGTAGATAATAGCAGTAAAATCTGGATAGTATGAGATTTTAGAGTCATATTCAATAAGGTCATTGAAAATAGATTAATTCCCAGTGCAAATTCAACCTGTTATTGACTTTTTATAACTTCAGGAAAGTTAACCCAATGTCAATGATACAGTATATCATCTTACCGCAAAACGAATACTGGGTAAAAACGTAAGATTGTTTGTAACACTATGTTAGACAACTGAACTGTTTGGTTGTCCTTAGCATGTCAGTGATTTGTATCAACATTCTCTTTTAGTATCTATTAAATTGTGTTACAATACGTTCTGTGATTGCTAAAGAAATCTAGTTGACTACTAGTGTGAAATGCCAAACATTAACAAATATTGTACTGATGATGTCCATCGTAAAACAGTAGTCTTGAGATGAAGCTAAAGTATTTGAATAAATGAATGCTGATCTTAGATTTCGGCTTCATCGAGTTTACTTTGCAGAATAGCGTTAACTTTGTTGTTTCACAAATGAGTTCAAATCATGTACGGGGTTCCACTAACAAATATCATCTAATCTGAGTTACAACGCAATTTCCAGAATTTCTCAAAAATAATCACCGATACTTCACGATACATGTATATAGTTTTCTTAATCAGGAGGCTTCAATTAACCACTATCCGTTCACATATACCTATATTTTAATGTTTATTACTTTCGTATTTAACTCATTATAAGCATTCGAGGAGCAGTATTGAAGTAAATTATGTTCGCTTGCCGTAACTCTGCTTTATTTAAATAATGTACCACTGATGCCGACACTTTCCACATTACAGTGGTTTTTCAAATGCCCCACTATAATAGTAGTGAATTGCTCGTCGGACATCAGTACATAGTTCACAAACTCTTACTTCTAGTGCAAAACGCTCATGAAAATATGTAATATCTTATTAAAAAATACATTTCTAGTAACTGCACAAGACTAATAATATTCGGTAGGATGAACTCATTACTGAAAATCGTATTAATCTACATTCTTTTTTAAAATCTTTCTGCAAATAGATTGAAAAAATTATGAAATCGCTAAACGTTGAAACATGAATTATAACAGCCAGCTAAATAGAACTACAAATTTTATTTGACTTAAACTGTCATGGCTCAAATGGATCGACAAAAATCAATATTTTTCCGAGCGGATGAGTCCAATATTCGTAGGTGAAATATAACTTTTTAGGATTATAATTTCGTTTTATTTTAAAACAACCAGATTTCAATGCAATTACCGACTTGAACAAATTTTCTAAAACTGGATAATTTTTAGTGTCGGTTAAGCCCATATAACTTATTCTAGCTTTTGGACAGGCCAATCTATTCATTCTTCTTGAGTCGCGTTTCGACAGTGTTAATTATTCACTTATCAACCCTGACTGTTTTTATATGAGCGTAGGTGTGTACACTTCTCATCCTACTCATCACATGTTTGTAGCTTATTTTTGTGTGACTATAAATATTGATTAACGCTTGATTAAAGGGAGTTGGCTCACACGTCCTCTCCACCGCGCGTCATTTCGCTTCGCTTCCTTCCACTCTCTTCATCCCTCTCATTTCCTGTCCAGATCAATGAATGTACAAAATATAGGTATCCAAAAATCCATTCTCGTATTTGATTTATTTAATTCCGTCATTCACTAATGTGAGTTAAATAGATAATTATTTACGAGGATAGGTGACATGTGTATATGTCGATGGTAGTCATACATTAGCGATCAACATATGATCTAATTGAAGTCAGATCCCGGGCCACTAAAAAATTACATAATATGCATGTCACTGGAATATATCGTTTACATATTAGACAGTTATGTATTTAAATTATTTGTAGTAGAAAAGTATTTTTCTGAGACAAAATGATTCTATTCGAATAATAATGACATAAGAATTCAATAATTGAGCTAACAATATGAGTTTTACAATAAATACAAAAATTATTACAAATGAATGTTATTCGTCTGCAGATGAAGAGTACATTTGAAGCTTAGCCAACCGGTTCAAAAATAGTATAATCTCATTTAAACGGAACTGATGATTTAAACAAGAATTATAGTCCCTCGCCTACATTTGGGTCCGTATACGTTTAATTTTGTCTTTCAATTGACTTTTTTTTTAACAGATTATGTCATTTGAATAATAATAATTTGTCATT